GTGACTTAGTGTAGTTGGTAAGTTGTCGCACCCCCAAGCAGCAGGACAAGAGTTCGAATCCCACTGGCGACGAAATTTGAATTTGCAGAAATGTGTTACGGTAAAACTGTATGACATATCGATCGGGTAAGCACCTGTGACTTTGGTCTTACCAACTCATATTGGGAGGTTGTGGAACGTAGTGTGACATATAAGTTACACAAAATCTAAGTGAAGTAGCCAACTATACTAAGTCGCCACGCCCAAATAGTATAAATTCTAGTAATATAATTCTGTAATAGTATATAGTATAAAGAATAAAGAATTGTATAAGACAGATAATTTAAGATATTTAAAAAGTTAAATAATTTTAAAATTAGTAGTATATTTGTTAGAACTATCAATTAGGAACAAAACAAAAATCAAATGATTTTTTAGAGGAAAGGAGAGATAAAAAATTTAAAATTATATAATATTAAGAGAAGAAGAGAGTAAACTTCTGATAAAAAAAAATCAGGTGATAAATAATACTGCCTTTATTAAATTTAAATATAATAAAATATTAATAAAAAACTAAAGATTATTTTATAGCTATTAACATCTAATATATATACTAATACCTAGTAATCTTGATTATTAAGATTTTAATATAGTTTGAAATATAGTATTATAATTGAATATCTTAGATTTTACAAATATTATATTTTTGAGAATGAAGAAGAATAAAATAGAAATAAGCTGACTAAGATTAATTTTGTATTTAATAAATTTAATTGATTACGCTAAATCACACCACTGGTGCTAACACCAGTATCGATAATAACATAATGGTTACATGATTTTGTATGCATAAAAATCGTAGATCGTGTAACAAATACGGGTTCGTCAAACAAATAAATTTATTTGCGACGTAATAAATCCGTAGTCAAATAAAACCAACACTGTTAAAAATTTTGCTTTATTGTCGCGTCATAAATAAGTGTCTAGCTATTTACACATATATTAAATTCAAGTAATATTTACAACGGCAAGTGACCTTTACTTTCGAATAGAATCGTGACCTTTAACATTTTTGCCGTTGTAAGTTTTTTCTTTTTTCTTATCGCTTAAAACATGCTTCTTTTCTTTATTCTGGCCAACCTTTCTTTTTATTTCTTTATGATAAATAGGTGCATAGCTATTCGTCCGCCTTATTAGTGTCAATAATTTTTTTTCATGAACTGGATGTAAATTACTGTTCCAAGTTTATTCTGCTGCGCCAAGTTTTTTTTTTCAATAAACTCTTCGTTTATTTCTTGACATAATCATTCATTTTATTGTTACGCGATAATAAGAATAAGCATTCGGTTATTTATAAATGCTAAGTGATTTTTTCGTGAGCTGAGAGAACGTGAATATTTTCACATCCCATTTATTTTTCTTAACATAAAAAGTACCTTTTTTATTGACCTAACTTTTCGCTTTATTGTTGCACGCACTAATTAATGAAACTTTTTTTTTTTAATGAATCTTATTTATCAAAGGGAAGCGAAAAGTTGCAGTGGACAATTTATTTTATTTTTTTTTGAATTACGTTCGCTTTATTGTTGAATTATAAGCGTCTGGCTGTTAGACTGCCCTCGCAAGCTTTGTTATTTGTTTGTAGATTAAACTTATTAAAGGTGATCAAATTTTGTTGTCATTAGTTTTGCTGATCTAGCAGGTGCTTTATTTCTTTGATCTAACCTTTTGCACATTACATAGGTATCCAGTTGTTTAAATATTTAATTTTTTTTCACGAAATGAACATATCAAAATCTGATGGTTATAACTGCAAATTTATAAGGAAATGAATATGAATACTTCACCAATTCTAAGTACTGAGGATTATTTCGCTGAAAACTTCTTTTCTGAATTCATCAATATAAACAATGAACCATTGATATCAAATGAGGCTTTATATTTGACAGAAATTATTGAACCGAAATTGAGGCCAATTGATTTGACAGAAATTATTGAACTTGAGCCGGAATCAATTGAAGAAATGGAAGATCAAGGTGTTGACAAAGATATTTCATATCCTATTGCATTGGAGATGGTTTTTACAAATTGGAATGAGCTAGATGGGTGAGTAATTAGTTATATTTTTTATATCTACTGTATTAGTACTAAAAATTCTTATCATTATAACACAGGTGGCTTGATAATCACGGACTGGAGCATGGTTTTGCATTTACGACTACCCATAGTGAAAAGGACAAGGATGATGGAATTCCCTGATGTCGTGTCTATAGATGTATGAGAGGCAGGCTATATATTCTATGAAAAGAAGCACATAATACTAAGGAGCGCAATAAAGGTTATTACACTGGTGACTGTGAATTTCATGTAAATACATATCGACACAAAAGGGATAATAAAATCTATATAACAAAGATTGATGGTTAGCATGATCACCCACTTATAAAAAATATAGAAATGGCTGCGGCTCACTACCGGAGACTTATACCTGAAATGTGTAATGAAATAAAAATGCTTGCATCAAGTGGAGTACATGCTGAAGCAATTATTGAAGTCTTGCAAAAAAAGAACTCAGGAAAATATATTCATGCTCACAATGTATATAATGTAATTCAAATGTCACATGATCACGATAACACAGTAAGTGATGCTGGAGCAATGTTTCTTCAACTTATAAAACAACAACAAGTGGATCCTACTTTTTATATTGATGCACACTTTGAAGATAATGATAATAATCTCACAAGGCTCTTTTGGATGAGTCCCAGTCAGCAACAGTTGTGGGCTCAGTTTCACAATATCATTCTTCTTGATTCTACAGCAAAGACCAATCAGCATTCTATGATATTATGTATTATAATTTTAATAGATAATCACAATAGATCACATCTTGCAGCAAGTGCTGTCGTTTCAGACGAAACTAAAGATACATATATGTAGCTATTTGCGAATATACTTAAGGCAACTGGCAGATTAGCACCACGTTTGCTTTATATAGATGCTGATCCTGCCATGACCGCTGCTATAAACATTTTGTTGCCATCAACAAAACATTATTTTTGTTTGTTTCACATTCATAAAAATCTGGAAAAACATTGTCTTGGGAAATACAAAGATAATTGGGAATCTTTTTTTAAGGATTTTTGTCGTACGCGTAACAGTAGTGTTGAATTAGTCTTCGAAAAAAGATGGAGTGCATTTTTACAAAAGTATATAGATGCTTCTAGTTATTTGCAATCTCAACTATATCAGTATAGAGAAGCGTGAGCATTGTGTTTTACACATTGTGCATTTAATGCAGGTGTGCAAAGCACACAACGATTTGAATCATATAATGCAATAATCAAAAAACAAGCAAACGGGTTGTCAAGTCTTTTGGAATTGGTGTATAATGTTGAAAGATTATTGGATAAAGAAAGTTACTTTGTGCGTTTTAATGAAATTATTGATCAACTTCCTATAAATAGAGAAGAAAGTTACTACAGTAGATACTTTAATAAAGTTGATATTTCGTGTCAGAATTATTTAACACCCACGAT